GCCAACCTCGCAGAGGACCCCTACAGCGAGTTCTACCAGGATCTACTAACTGATACTAAAGAGGAACTAAAACGAATGGAGAAGATGGGATTTGAGAGGACTGCAAATACGCGCCAGGATGACAGACTACACTGTCAATGAAGCCATGACTAAATTCTTCTTCTCCAGAATCAAGGCCAATGCCAGGTACAACATGATAGAAAAGACCCAACAGATCAAGAGAATGTCAAAACAGCAGGTACATAGATGGTCAGGATAGCCAGGACATTCTTCGCAGACTTATACAAGTTGAAGACGCCTTCACCCCCGACCACAGCGAACCTAACAGCCCGTCAACACATGCTGTTGTACCTAGACAAAACGATCTCGATAACTCAAGCGGAAGGCCTCGACAAGCCCCTAACCCTGACTGAGCTACATGTAGCCCTGACCCAGATGGGAAATGCAGCAGGCTAAAGGGAGGCCTAGGCAATGAATTAAGTACCAGAGTGGTATCTCTGCTGCACAAGAAAGGAGACAAAGACCTGAAGAACTATTGACCCACATCACTACTCACCACTCCCTACAAAATCCTCGCTAAGGCTCTAGCAGAGAGAATCACAAACCTAACAAACAAATGATTTCATATCGACCAAGCAGGCTTTATCCCTGGCCGGTACGTTGTCTACTAGTGATGACACTGAATGAGGCAGCAAAGAAGATCACGGAAAAACGAATGAAGGCAGCAATCCTGTTCTTTGACTTCAAAAAGGTCCACGATCAGGTCAATTGGGACTTCCTGCATGCCTGCATGGAGAAAATGGGGGTAGGCCCCAAGTTCCGAGAATGGGTTAGAGTCCTCTATGCAGACACAACAGGCCAGGTCAATCGGATTGTTCCAGAGACCTACCCTCAAGATCGATTAGACAAGGCGACCCATTGGCTCCTCCCATGTTCCTCTTCATTATGGAAGCCATAGCCTCTTCCCTTCGGAAAGACCCATCCATCGATTGCCTTACTGAACGCAACTTCAATCCATTACACGACTTCGCCCTACCCACTGCGCTAATGTTCGCCGACGACCTCACTGTCCTCATTCGTGCCAACAACTCCTCTTTCCAACCCCTCGTAAGAGCAATGGAAGCCTTCAGATTGGCATCGGAAATGACGGTCAATAGGCGTAAAACTGAAGGATGGTTGACCCCTCCCCAACTGACCGATACAGCCACACCCATGTATTGGTCTACATGAGATCAGACACTCAGATTCCTGGGTATCATGGTAAACAAGGACGGGGTCTGGCCAGTCATGGGCCAGAACCTAATCGCCAGGGCAATCACTCGCATGGCCCCGTGCAAAACCGCTCAGGCCTCGTTAATCGGAAGAGCGTTACTAATTAACACGGCAATCTTATCCACACTGTGGTACATGGCATCCATCTGGTCCCCCCCACACGACGACCTCAAAACGTTAAAAAACAAGGCTAGATGCTATCTATGCACCGGAGACCCCAACAGGACCATGTGTATCAACAGGGTAGCCTGGAACCACACCATTAGGAAACAGAAGGAGGGTGGTCTTGGGTTAATTGATCCCAAAAAGGAATCCATAGCACTGCAGATGAAATGGATTATCAAGATCTTGTTAAGACAATTCATTCCATGGACCCATATGGCTGTAGACAGCATCAGAAATCTAGCACCTATCAACTCCCCTCCGAACATGAGAGGTCTTTTCTGGATAATGGCGAAGGACTGGACAATCAAATCAGACAAAGCTCACAGAAGATCCTGCTACAAGCCCCATCCCAACAGCAAATCCATACTGGAAGCCTACCCTCAAAGCCTGGCGAAGAATGATGCCGAGCAAAGATGATGCACCAGGAAACAGAGAAGAGGTCTGGAGACACCCTCTTCTCTGCAACCCCTGGATCGTAGAACCGAGTGGCTCACCCTGGACACTACGCCCAAAAGACAGGAGATGCCTATCTTGGGTGGAAAAGGGGTGTGGCAGGTGAAACACATTTGGGAAGAACATCGAAGACAATGGTCAACCAAACAGGAGCTCCGAATTGATTTAAAAGGCTGTCATGCCCTCACAGAGAATTTCACACAGATTCAGAAGAGCATCCCAACACAGTGGCTCTCCCTCCTAAGGGAGAACTTCTCGTGGAAATCCGGAGACTGCGGCATACTCATTTCCCAAACCCAGCCTCGCAGAGCATACCGATTCGTCTCTTGAACCAATGCACCCAGCTACCGCTCCAAATTCTTCTCCTACCCAATTACTAATCACAACCTACAAGAGTTGGAAACTATGATCAATGAACCCCAGTGCGAGATGCTAGAATCCTTCCGACTGAGGAAAGTGAGGATCCCAGACTCAAAGAAAAATGGAGAGAGACCCTGAACCTAGAAGCTAACGACCCCATTTCCATCCCCTGGACACAGTACCTGTCCATCAAACCGGTTAGGATCCGAAGCATGCAGTGGCTCGTAGCCCACGCATCTCTGCCCGTCAACCAATGGATCCGAATTATGTGATTTGTGTACAGACAACAGACCAGAAGACATACCCCACTGCCTCTTGTACTGCACGGAAGCCTGGATATGCAACAAGGTCCGTGACATATGGTCCCTCTTCTCATCAACCCCTCCCCCCACATCTCCTCGAAACATCCTTCTTCTATCCAACAATACTAACAATCTCAAAGGCGGCAAGGAAATCTGGTTTCAGCTTCTCAGGAAGTTGGCTCTGTGAGTGATCTGGAAGAGGTGTACCAAGACTATCGAGAGAACTGAGGTGGCAAGGGAAGAAATGTGGACACTAGCGCTGAGTATGACGGAAACTGAGATTCGGAGCAGTTGGAGGGAGGTGACATCAACAACGAAATCCAGACCAGAAAGGCTAGCTGTCAAGCGACGTTCTGTTATGAGAGACTGGCTTCTACAAGGAAAGATTGCAACAGTGGCAGATAACAGATTGATCTGGAAGAAATGGCACAGCAAAACTCCAGCGAGGACGACAACCCAATGATGGGCAAATTGAGATCATAGTCTCAGCAATATAGACAATTCTCTCTTTTCTTGCGCACACAAATTATATGACAGAATCACAATGGATTCTGAGAGGAAAAGTGGCAGGGCAAGCAGACAGTCAATTCTCCTAAATAGGAGCAACCAATGCTGGTCAGGGCTCCTTCGGCCAGAAGGAAGCGTGGGAGTGTTCACCATGTACTCCAATTCTCGACTTGCCGGTGGAATGGATATGGAGCCAGGACCATAAGGACCTGTTTACAAAAAAAGAAGAAGAAAAAGAATGTACCTGTGTGGTAATGTGGCCAGACCTGAGTTCGGATTCTGATTGAATCAGAAGAATAAATAAGTTTAAATAACCCTCAATTGCCTGCAGCCCCTCAGTTAGATGATACGTCAAGGCTGTCGCCCTTTGCAAGATGGGAAAAAAGGAAAACAATGCAAACAGTAATATCATTGGGATGAGAAGCCATGACCTAGAGAGTTACTCATCTCTCTCTCTCTCTCTCTCTCTCTCTCTCTCTCTCTCTCTCTCTCTCTCTCTCTCTCTCTCTCTCTCTCTCTCTCT